TTCCTTTTTTTCTGGAGAGCCAGTGGCAATGCAGGGTGACAGGATGCCACATAGCCTGAGGGAATCACACACTGCCACTGTATTATCAGCCTGTAACATTCTTATGTAACGGCGTCAAAGCCACTAAAGCTGACCCTGGGCTTTTGTCCTAGTATGAACACTATCCTGACATCAGAATCCACAGATCCTACAATACACATTATAGTTTTGTTCTGTAATGTAACAGATCGTGTAAAATGGTCTGCAGATTAATTAAAGGAAAACACCACCCTGAAAAACATGTTTATGTTGAAACATTTGTGATGTGTTTAGTGATTAGGGTGCTAATTTTTTTGGTTGGTGCTGTATTTTCCTTATTCATGTTAGAAGTTAGACATTGTCTGTCACACTTGGATCATTGCTGGTGCAATTTTAAAAGGAAAAAATGTTTCAACAACCTCAAACATACAGTCAAATTTTGTTATTATCTCCTAAAAACAGAAGAGCAAGAGCTTCTCAGCATTTTCAATTTTCCAGCGATGTTCAATCTCACATTAATGAGAAATCCAACATAGAAGTAGTGGAGACACAAAACGTTGGACTTCCAGAGTGCAAAGCAGCTATAAGACACATGTTGCGACACATGAGTTGCGTCAGAGACTTTATTGACCTAGTTAATGATCTACAAGATGATGAGTATGATGGCGTTGATGACATTATTAGCAAGAAAGTTGAAGGTTTGTGAAAATAGACCAACTCGTCGATGAAATAAGTTTAAGCCAAAAAAGTCCATTCTGAATTTAATCACAACATAAATCTTTTTGCACAATTTAAGATCACACATTGAGTATAAATATTGATATGGAATGCACTCAGGGTGCATATTTCCTTTAAAGTAAATGTCTAATTTTTCTCAATTACAGATCTGCATCCTTGTTATTAGGGCAGCTTGTGAAACTATACATTCTAGGACACAATTCATTTCAAGTACAGGCATGTCTGTAAGGTGTCTGATGCAAGAAGTATCAGTTAGTGGGCCCTGGGCTTGTTCATATTGATTTATTTCACTTGCTTGCGATTTACCATTTTAAAATCTTGATAAACCATTTAATCACCCAGAACTGAAAAAAATGCTTAAAAATGACAGGAAAACAAGCATTTGTAATGGAGTAATGGAGGGTGTAATAATATTATCAACCGTGCAGTCAGGAACTGCTTGCGGGCAGTGGTAATCACGAAAACTCAGCTGGATGGTGGATTTAGGTGATTCTGCAGTATAGTGTAGTAAACAGTAGGACAAAAATCAGTTGTCTAATATCCACATGGCTGACAATTTCACTGTTCATCTTCTGCTCAAAGTGTTTTCTTCAGCTTTTATATTTAGTAGGTGTGTTTATGTAAAATGTCACTATTCTGAAGTCTTCACTGTCTGTCTCTCTTGACTTTGCAGGCAGTAGGGAAATGTGCAGATGTTGACTGCCGATGGCTTCATTCCACATTTGTAGGGCTCTGGCAGGGTTTTCATCAATCTGAGCAAGTTTCAAACTCCCTTCTGTGCGGTATCTGACAGCACTGAGCGCTCCTGCAGTGAGACAGGTGACAAGTGTGAGACGAACAGAATCTCTAGCAGTGGATGTCTCCAACTGCTTTATTTGTAGCTGTCACTAATCTTGTGCTGTAAACGACCCTTGAAAGGTCCAATCAGTAGAGCTCTTCTGTGAAGTATTCACTTCAGCTGTTCATTTTAGAGCCATAATCATTTGGTAAACAGCCACAAACTATAGTCTCACAGGTATAGACCAACTAAAAATATGGACCATGATATTTACTCAGTGCCTCGTTTCTGCTCCTGTGCCAGATGCCCGGTTGGTTGGAGGCTCAGATGTCTTAATTTCCTCTGTTAACTGTGTAGATCAGTAACAGATACTCACCAAGGGACTTGCATTCAGGTGAATGCTGTACATCATTTCCTACTCTGTTCTCTGCAGAGTCCTTAGAGACTGCAGTTTTCTCTGCAGACTCTGTTAATTAGGTTTAACTGAAAAATGGCAGAAAACTGAAAAATGAGGATTAGATGATGTCCAATGCATTTAGATTGCACTGAAGGGGCACTACTGAGTTAAATTATAAGTCAAATCAGATTCAGAGCCTGAATTTATGGGGTTGAATGAAGATTTTATCATATTAAAAATTTCACTGCAAACCTTTGATCTTTCTAAATGTTACCCCAGAGTTCACCCTTCACAATTCAAGTCCAAGATACAAATTCAATGAGTATACAGCACCTTACGTTTACATAGTTGTGAAACATTTTTAAAACCTTATTTTGTCCCAATTTATTTGCCAATTCTCACCCACAGCCAGCTCTCCCCTATCAGACGACAGCTACCAGTCAGGGAGGGTGAAGGCTAATGTGCTTCCTCTGAAACACATGAAGGCAGTCACCAGCAGTCATCTTTTCAAACTTCTGCTACATCACAGGGCAGTGTAACACACTCGGAGGAAAGCGCTATCTACCCTCTTCTGCATACGTGAGCTCACAGATACCCATTATTGGCTAGTGTCGCTGTAATTGACAGATGAAAGAATAAGGTCACTCCTTCCACCATCAGGATTGAAACTTGCAATCTCCTGATTATAGGATGAATGCTTTTCTGTTGTGCCACTCACAAACCCATAGTTGTGAAGCTTAAGGTTAAGCTCAAGTGGAAATTCCAGAAAACATCTCAACAAGAAAATCTTTAATCAGGCTTCCAATTTTTTTTTTTTTTTAATTTTGAATTTTTACAACATGAATATTCATCACTTCAGAGTTTGCTACTAGTTGATTTTGTTTCTAAACTAAATTGTCATAACCTGAGTTAGGAGGAGTTTGGATTTTGGAATTTGGAATGACATTTAAAAATGTGTGACATCTTATGGTCACAGAATTTTAAAAAAGGGCAATTGTATATTATATTAATATTTTTGATGAAAATTTTTTAATTATGATGAATTCAGTCTCAGGCTGTGGCTAATCTGATTTTGAAAGCTGTGGCAATAACACAGCCATTGATGTGGATTTAGTGGATGGATTTACTTATACATCAATTTATTGAGTTTCTTTTTCCTTAAATTCATTAAGCATCATGAACATCTTGAAGGTGAGGTTCTGGTGAATCTGACTTTAAGGTCATTCTAATCAGTTCAAATGTGTTAAAAATCAGAATTAAAAAATGAATAAATAAATAAAAGGCCATGTCCCTCTGGTTGAACCTGGTGGATGGTATTATTACGGTGTGATGGTGCGCATCTCTCAGCTTTCTCATTGTGTAATCTTATCTTTAGCAAGGTCACCTCCATTCCACAAACATATCGGTCCCTCAGTCTTCCAGTGGGAACCGTACTTGCTGTGAGCTCTTTCTAAATATATCCCTGCTCTCCATTTCTCTCCCTGTATCAAAGATTCTGAGCATATAGTATAAATTATTTCAGTGACGGTTTACTGTAAAAGCGCGTCACAGTACAAAAGTGTCAGTCTCTGCGCATGCCGCTTGATTTGTGTGTTGGGCAATAAAACCGTGCTAGCAGGCATTCACAGTTTTATAATGATGAATTATGCGGCAAAATCAGCAGCAGGCTCTCGTCTCTGGAGGGCCATTTCACTCACGTGTTTTACTTTCTGACCTCCCAGCCAAGCACAACAATCCGGCGTAGGCAGTTTCCGAAAACCATTCCAACACAGATATGCCTGCCAGTGGCTTTCTTTCAGCATGTGTGCACTGAGTCCTTTGCTTCTCTCTATCTCACTCTCTCATTTCTTAGCGCATGTGGACTGCCCATGATAGTCTCCTCCAGGAGATACCACCTGCCTCATCTTTGGGGAAAAAGAAACGTGCTGCAGCATTTTTTCCCTCTCATGATCACACAGTTCACAGCCAGTCTAGTGTAAAGCTAACTGTGTCTGAGAGGAAGATGAAAAAGAAGCAAACTAGCAAGTCACCATTCAGAGCATTTCTGTACAGTGTTTATTATACTTTACTATACTAGGGGTATAACACAATGACACTGTCTACTATTTTTAGTGAATCTGACTGCCTATTTGTTCTCAGCCTCCTGAAAGGAAAAGGTTCCTGCTTGCATGACTCTTTTGTCCTGCAGGATCCCAGTCCCAATGCACACATCTAATCTCAACCCTGTGAACCTGGCAAGCTTTAATCTGCTTAGAACACATTATCCGTTCATTCTGCATAATATTTTCTTATTCGGTTACATCCCTATTCTATGCAGTACATTATTACTGTACAAGCATTATGATTAATCACACAGAGTGTTTCAGTAATGATGATTAAATATGCCATTTTAAATTTTGTGACCCCAGCAAAAAAGCTGCTGAGCAAATCGATTTTTTTTTTTTTTAATTATTAAACTACAGCCAGTATAAGACCTCTCCCAGTGACATGGAGCATATTGTGTTATTGATAAATCACTGTGTTACCTGTTTGCTGGAAGCTGAATACATGCTAGGTCAGGCTTAAATAGTTGAATACACCCACAAGGTGTATATCTCCTACTCCAAAAACTGAGGAGATTTGTGAAAGTCTATGCAGGTAAAAATTGTATACCACTGTGTGATCCACTGCTATGATTAGCCAACAAAATAAACTACTTTATAGTTTAACGAGGCCTGTTTAATTTAGGCTTGTTCAGATTAGTAATGAGGTAAGTGTGGCCTACTGATTTATTACACTTCAAATAGAGAAGTAGAGAGTAAAAATGGAATAAATGTAAAAATGCAGTAAACAGTAAAAAAAACAAAACAAAAAAAAACAGACGTAACAGTGCATTTTCAAAGTTCTTCTTTCAGCTGCTCTCGTTAGGGGTCGTCACAGTGGATCACTGGTCTGCATATTTGATTTGGCACAGTTTTTATGCCAGATGCCCTTCCTGACGCAGCCCTTCCTGACGCAACCCTTCCCAATTTTATCCGGGTTTGGGAACGGCACTGGGAGTGCACTGTCTTTTGCAACCCCAGTGGCGAGTTCCCTGGCTGGGAGTCGAACTCGGGCCATGGCGGTGAGAGCACTGAGGGCTAACCACTAGTCCTCCAGGGACCCGTAACAGTGCTTTTTCAATATATTACTGATTTATTGATCACTGAAACTAGGACTGTGAAACGGTTCCTCACAGCCAACATTTTTCACTGTGCTGGGAGGAAAGGGGCGGGGCTTGCAGGGTGTTAATGACAGAGAATTCCAAACACCTGCCAATCATTCCAGATTCACATGTTGATTGACTGACTTTTTTTTTTTTTTTTGAAAAAAAAAAAGACTGTTCTTTATGTATTTTTGAGTGATAGGCATTTTAACATCAGCTACAAGCTATGAAAATGCATAAAGGTTAGCAGATCTGGATTTGACACTTCACTGTAGGCCTATTTATCCTTGATTTCAGTCTGTGAAAAAGTCTGGGGTGGCTGAAACTTCTGTGGTGGTTCATCCTTAATGAATATACTTATTTAGATATAGATATTAACTACATACTTGTGTAATGTTAGCTAGGTCAAACATACATAGATAGGTTTTATTTCAAAACATTCTTCATTTACCCTGTGTCAGTGCATCTTTCAAGCTGGAAAATCCTTCGAATATGAGAGTATCATCCAGCAGATTATTGTGAAACGGGAGAAAGGGGGTGGGCTTCCAGGGGATGTCAGTTAATATTGGAGAGTTAAACCACAACTGTCAGTCATTCCAGATTCATATGTTGTTTGAGCCCATCTGCTCTTTTTATTGGGGGGCGAAATAGAATCATACCAGTGTATTGCAATGTTAAAATGCGGAGCTCCCTCGCAAAATGTGAAAACGGCAAAGTGAAATTGTCAAATTTATAATTTGTAATTTAAATCACTTCTCAGAACAGGGAATAATCCTTAGATTAGTCAATTATAAAAAATAGTCAGAAAGAGAGTACAGTTTGTCCAAAGTTTCAGGCCACTGATAACAATTCAGTATGCTTTAACTTAATTATTACAGTGCATGAGTTCAGAATTCTGAGCACACAGTTTGGAACAATATGTTACTCCTCATGTTTTTTAATGAGTACAATTCTGCTTTTCACTCCATGTCAATGTGCCTTTGGAGATATAGCCCCCCGGCCAGCAACAAAATGCCCCACCAACAGAGAATAGTCATTAACATTTCATGACATTCTTAGCTCTTCTCTTTGCTTGACAGAATATTTCTTTCCTACATTTGCGCAGAGGTTTTTTTTAATTTATTTAATAAATAGATGAGGTGTGATGCCCCACTGCTTCTTCATCTAGCCACTGTGCACCTTGTGGATGAGACTATTGCGCTTTCTGCAGGAAGTCACATGAGATGGACAACTGAGTAAAAGGGCAAGAAATCCTCCCAATATTACTTGCATGTATTCGAGTTTCCACTACCATTTCATTAAATGCGGCAGACTGAAAGGTTTCTGCAAGTTTTTTGGAAAGGAAAGGCACTTTGCCGTTCACATGTCCTTATGTTTCTGCAAGTATGTCTTCAAAATACAAAAAAGTCAGTAATTTATATTTTACACTTTTCCAGTACATCTTCCTGTAATTAAAATATTTTTACACTTATTGGCCACTCTATTGTACACCTGCTCATTCATACAATTATCCAATCAGCCAATAATGTGGCAGCAGAATACATAAAATCATGCACATACAAGTCAAGGGCATTAGTTAATATTCACATCAAACATCAGAATGAGGTAAAATGTGATTTCAGAAACTGCTGATCATCTTGAATTTTCATGCACAGCCATCTCTAGTTTACATGGAAGATTAGAAAAACACTTGGTCTTTTATCAGTCTGTTCACTTTGGGTGAGCCAGTGCCCACTATAGCCTCACCTTCCTGTTCTTGACTGACAGGAGTGGAACCTGCTGTGGTCTTCTGCTGTTGTTGCCCATCTGCCTCAAGATTTGGCGTGTTGTGCATTCTGAGATGCTTTTCAGCTCACCGTGGTTGTAAAGAGTGGTTATTTGAGTTACCGTAGACTTTCTGTAAGCTCGAATTAGTCTGGCCTTCTCTTTGATCAGCAAGATGAAACTGCTGCTCACTGGATGTTTTTTGTTTTCCGCACCATTCTGTGTGAACTCTACAGGCTGTTGTGCATGAACAGTGTTTGAAACACTCAAACCAGCCCGTCTGGCACCATCAAAGTCAATGAGATCCTATTCTCTTGTTAGATAATGCAGTATTATATCTCTCAGCCTCAATGCTTTGACAGAATTTATGATTCTGTATTATTGTCACACAGGTGTTTGTCAGTATTCAGTCCCTACAGTACCCAGCATGAATCCTCACTGCTATTACCCGTGGACTTGTGAGTCAGAATGACTAGCTAGTCACAGGGGGAAACCAACACCTAATGGAATGAGGCTATTTGTTTTCTTTATCAAGTATAAGATGAATAATCCCTGCAAAGTGCAGTGTGATAAATATGAATGGCAAAAACCAAATGTGTTATTTAAAAGCTATATATAGTGGCTATAGGAAAAGAGAAGGACTTTAGTGCTTCAGGCCTGAGGACTATGAGAGAGATTATTACGGAACTGAACACAAAATATTCCTAACGAAGATTCTACAGAAGAAATTGTGATTTCATAAGCATTCAACACAAAAGAGATACCAGGGCCAGGTTTCTTCGAGTGTGGGCTTTGAGACTGTATCCAGCGTGCAAGCTTTTGTTTTTAGTTTGTTACCCATACATGTCATGTAATATTATCATTTTAAAAAAGTGTCCTTATACAATGTGTTCTTTAGCTACTCGGCTCAGATCAATGTGGGAAGACCTGAATATTTTTATGCACTGTCCTGAGTGTAGTGAGGTTTTGCATCCAGCTCTTTTATGCAAAGTCTGAAAAAGCGAATAAAAAAACCTGAATGGAAAAGCCTGAAATTTGAAAAAGTGCCGAAATATTGTAGAAAAGGATATTATGCTTTGGCTGAGGTGGAAAATTTGGTCCATCAATAAAGACAGGGTGTGATGAAGAGTGATGGAAACAGGTTTTTCAAATAAATGATGACAGAGAGAAACATAAGTCACATTTTAACATTATATGTAGATCTAAAGTTAAACAGGTTTTTTCTTAATAATGAAAGCAATGTCAAATGTCCCCATGACCCTGAGTGGGCTAAAGCAGATCCTGAAGATAAACAAATGCATATATGAATGAACATCAAATGACAAATCTCTCTATTCACTGCTGTTTTGGTGCTCTTTTCTTTCTGTACTCAGGTGAGAAACAGCGGTGCACTTTAGCTGTTTGGTCTTAATCAACTTTTAGTCATTATCCGGATTTTCGCATGACTGTAAATGATAGAAAAACTGATTCATTTCATTTTCAGCTAGAGACAGCTAGCAAAAACTTTTAATCGTTGGAGTCTTTCAAAATTGTCTTCCATGTCTAAGATGTGTCAATAAAAGGGGTTTTTTTGAGCGTTCTCACTCTTCTGGAGGCTTCACTGTGACTGCCGAGAAAGGCAAGTCGGTATGTTTACAACAGATATATTGATAGTTGCTGTTTTGATTTTGGCCCACATATCATTTTAATCTTTCACTTCCTCTGTTTTGTGGTTTTTCCTTTGTAAAGATTTTTTTGCAGTAGGACAAAAAGGTAAAAAAAAAAATTTATATAATTTGTTTGGTTGATAATTTAAACAACTTATGATTTTGACAACTTATGCTTCTCTCTCTCTCTCTCTCTCACACACACACTGTCTTTCTGTCCCTCTCTGTCACTCTATTTTCTTTGTCTCCATCTCTGTCTCTGTCCTTCTCTGTCTTTCACTTTATTTCTGTCTCTCTCTCTATCTCTCTCTTAACTTTGTCTCTCTGTATCTCTCTCTCTCTGTCCTCCTCTGATTCTCTCTGTATCGCTGTCTCTGTCTATCTCTCTGTCTCTATCCTTCTCTCTCCTTCCACTGTCTTTCTGTCTCTCTGTGTCTCCATCCTTCTCTGATTCTCTGTGTTTCGTTTTGTTTCTCTGTTTCTTTGATTCTCTCTCTGTCTCTCTCTCTCTCAGGTCCTCAGTGTAACTGCAGCACAGACGGCTCAGTGGACCCAGACAGATGTGACCCACTCACCGGCAGCTGTAAATGTTTGCATGGCTATTCAGGACTCCATTGTGAGCAGTGTTACAGCGGCTATTTCAGAAACCATGCAGGTGGCTGCCAGCCGTGTGACTGTGACTCATCCGGAGCAGCGGGGCCACAGTGTGATAGGTAAGTGAGAGAGGGAGGTTTTTTTCCACAGAACATGCTTTGAGAATCCCTCAAGCAAATTGATTCACCTTACAAAGCAGTTGCCAAAGCAGTTGTTGACAATTACATGTTTTGACGTCAAAGCGAAATGCTCATTTGCATGAATGATGTTTACCCTTGAAGGAGTCATAAGTGGAAAAAGTACAAAAGGTGAGGCGAGTCATTATCTTAGTAGATCAAGAAAAATGCATTATGAGTTTGTCTGTAGTGTACATACCATTCATGGATATCTTACTGTTACTTGTGACGTTGTATAATCACTGCCATTTTGAGGACTGAATAGAGGAAAAATTGCGTTAATGTTGTTGTGTCTGTGCTTCAGTAAGAAGATTCATTTTCATTTATACTGATAATCAACTGCACTAATACACTCCACTACGTACATCAGCAAACAGCATCGCAGCCGATCCACCTGTCGTGCTGCCTCATAGCTATGATAGATAGCTACGTTATGAGACAAACTAATTAACTAATTGCTAACATTAGTTAATTAGTTAGATAATATGGACATACCCTCTCTATAATGACAGTTTTTTTTGTCCTGCTGATGAAACACCCTAGAAGAGCCGGTGTACTTCTGTGCTCTTAAAAACTTTTAGGCACTCCAGAACAGGGAGAGGAGTTGTGTATGAGGATAAATATATCAGGAAAACACAAATTTGGTAAGTGTACTGCCAGTTTACGATGAATCAGCAGTCCTGGTGAAAAGACATAAATCTGTTTTATTAGCTTTGTCGAAGCACTGTTTATTCCCTTCCGATGAAAGGTGAGTAATTTTAGCCATCTTTCACCTGT